CGGACAGACCACACAGCTAGAAAAGCGCTTAAATACACAGAGGGAGCAATCAGGGAACAGGAGGGAAACACAGCTGGGGCAAATCAGGCCTAACGAGACAAAGGAAGCTAAACCAGATACATTAACATAAGACACGGACCTTCAAAATAAAACAGGAAACAACACAGACTGAACTAGAGACACAGACTTACAGGCACTACAGAGGGAACAGAGACAAAGAAACCAAAGACTAGAAATGATAAATAATACAATAAACTCAAACTTCTGGATCAACAACAATTTCGATGAGTAAATCCACAGCGATCAGTCCTCTGGTCTTGATTTCAAACTGAATGTTTCTTCAGACGTTGCTCTTCATCACTGTGACTCTTGATAAACTTGAAGTTTGATCTTCTGCTGGTTCAGTGAACTTTGGTCGGAGTGACAAACCTGCGGCTTCAGACGGCGTGTCCGTGTACGCGCCGTCGGGTGAACGATCCACGCGCTGTGTTTCCATCATTGTGTGGAATCTGTTTATCCACTCTTTAATCGTCGTCGTTGTTTTAGCTGTTCGGTGGTCGGTGAAATCGTTTCGTGAGCTTTAACCTGAGATTTTGACGTTTAAGTATATTTATATTTAAAAATCGATTCAGGATTTAATGAATGGATCAAAAAACTAGAGGAAGAGCCTCGAACCTTCCTAAAGGGACTCTTTCATATTTATTTGGCCGTGTCCCGACTTCTGCCGCCTCTCAGTGCGATTCAAGTGGAGAAGGAGGCCGACCAGAGCTACCTGCTTTGATGGGCGACCCCTCTGTGCTCCAGTCTGCATGCAGAGCAGTGTTAGCTACGAGCTACGAGCTGCTCTGTGAGCGTGAATGTTAAGCAGAGAAAAGCTAGCATGAACGGGTGAATGAGGCATGTTGTACTTTAGGGTAGAAAGGTGTTAACAAGTTTGGGTCCTTTTGTTTTCTGACTCACTTCCTGTTGAGAGGCTGTGGGACTTTCCGCTGCTGTTGCCATATTTGGTATTTCCTGTACCAGAGGATATCTAAGCTTGTGCTTACTTCTTCTTTCAATTCAGCAGACATAAATCAGTGCAGCTCCCGTTGCTAACGTGATAATTTGATCTATCGGTTGATCTCGAGCTCATTAAAAACAGATATTATCTGACACCGTCGTCATCGAGGTTTGATCGTGGCGTATGTCGTCAGTATCAATACGAATGATTGCATCAGCTTCATTACCCACAGCCATATTATTATCAATAACAGTAAAGGGGGATGCTCGTTGGTTACCGTTGCCGACGCGTCGCTGAAACTTGCTCCAAATCCAGGCGCTGCCTCTGAACGCTGCACGGAGCAGCTTCTTCAGGAGGGTTTCTCCATCGATTTTAACACATTCAAGGAGACAAAGAAGCCGAAGAGGTAAACTCTTATCAATGAGATAATTTACTATTTCCCACCACAGGACTGTGACTTCTCTCCCACGGATATTGATCCGCAGGTCTTGCTGACTGGTCGATCGTGTCTGCCGTCCCGTATCCATCCTGATGATCAGAATAATCTGAATCTACAAACTCTTCAGTGTTCGATGGTGAAATGAAGGAAGCTGCAGGCCGTCTGTGCCTCTCTGTTACTCGCGGCGGTGTTATGTTCCCTCAGCTGTGCTCCCGCCTTCTTTTAAGCCTTCTTCTTCTGCAGCTTTTATTTGTGATTGGCAAACAAAATAATGGTTTATTACTGCCACCCAGTGGTGTGGAGGGTGGACTCAAAAAGACAAAGTCAAACCAAACAAAGGAGTCTGAATTAAAACTTTCACTGCTTCAGTTCCTTTAAAGTAAATCACAAAGCTTCATTTTCACTCACTGTAATAAAACCTGTTCTATGATCTCATCTCCACCAGTTACTGTTTCCTCAGTGGTGTTTTCCTTTTGTGAATAATCGGTCCAGGTCTGACCAGTTTCAGTCATTATGCAAATGTCCTGTTTATAAGATTGAAACCTGCAGTCAGCTGAGACTGAAGACGTCACCTGATGATGACGAAACGTTTCTCCCAGAAAGCGCTACGTCCAGATGAACAGAATCAACTTTTGGAGATTTATTTTCCTGGATGATTGAGATGCATCAAGACGTAAACTAACTAACAAACAAGCATTAACTCGTAGAAAAGGCGAGGCTAAATAAGTGGGTTTTAACCGCGAGTTGAAGGATTGAATGGAATCAGACTCGTGGACAGCGATGGGGGGGGGGGGTGTTATTCGATAGATCGGCTGCAGCCGATCATGAGTGCGTATTTGAGTAAATGTACTTCTAGTTTTTATTCTCAGCTCTGGAGTTTATCTTAGAATAAAGTTTAACCTTAGACAGTGTGTAAATGTGTGCCACAGGTAGGTTCTCTGTGTTACGATCTGCATTTAAAATCAAAATAAAAAGGTGGATCTAAGAATCTACACTTATTACTGATGATCAGCTAACTTTACATGGTCCTGTTAGCTGTGCTGAGTGAAATCAGGCAGTGATTTCATACCTGATGATCTTGGATACAGAATTTAACCCACGTCCTATAGTCACCCAGAGTTAATGAAAAAAAGCATCATCAGTGGAGCTCTGATACCAGGATTCACCATGGCAACAAGTAAATAAAGAGCAGGAACATGCAGATGTGTCAATACCATGTTTACCTATAAGACAAGAGAAGAGTAACTTTAATCACCTCGGTCCTTTGTCGTCATCACAGAATGAATAAAGTTTAATATCAAATATATACATTTTATTCTGTCCATGCTCATCATTTAGCCAGGCTGAACTCTGATTGGATTAAACTTTAAATATGACTTTAAATCAAATGATTCAGCTCTGACCTGAAACAGACCAGTAACAGTTTACTCACAGTGATGTTCGTCACCCAGATGGCCACAGATTCACTCTCAGATCAGTTTTTATTCAGTAAAAACTGTTTTTGCAGCAGATTTTGAGCATTTAAATGTCTCAGTAATTATTTAGCAAACACTGAATGTCCTGATGGGCTGTAACCTAACCCAGCCACAGCGGCACCACGAGCCAGTCTACTCTTAGTGCCGGATGTCAGGAAGGGCATCCGAATCAAACATGCAGATCAAAACACTGGAGAGGTGACGTTCAGTGTCCCGCTTGTTAGTCTGGATATCCTGACCACAACCTAACACACAATAATGTCATGATAGCAACTCAAACATGGCCAACAACTTTTCATCCTGATGATCTGCAGAATAATTTGGGCACAAACAAATTTCACTGTTCAAAAACTTGCAGAATTGACTATAAACAGTGCAGATAGTTTGGATCCTCTAAACTAAGTCTGTGGGATCTGATCTTTGAATAACTGCAGACCAAACTGTGGTTGTTTGTATTTACTTACACAGCATGTCTCGTAGAATTGGATGATGCCGTCATCCACCTCCCACATCGTTCCCTCGCCCACCTGGACACCGCTGGGAGCACTGTGAGAATCATGTTCTTTGATTTCTCCAGTGCCTTCAACACTATTCTGCCCACAGTCCTGAAGGACAAGCTGGAGAACTCTGGACCATCACCTCACAGCATGGATACTGATCTACCTCACCGACCGACCACAGTATGTGAGGACTCAGGGCTGCGTGTCGGACAGGGTCGTCTGCAGT